CTTCGCCTTTGCTTAGCTATTGCGGGAGGTGTTCCTTTATTTTTTTGATAGGCGCCGATTCGTGCTACCATTATAACCTGCTCGAAAGAGTTTCCTAGATCTCTACTTGCCTTCTTTTGCTTTCATTTCTTGTGGTGACGACGACGGCTTCCAGGTGCGACAGTTTATGAGCGGGCTGATAAATTACCTCCAGAACAGTCCCCTCAACGGCATTGACGCGGCCTTGAAAGCAGAACGGGAGGAACTGCGAGATCTCACCTATGTGAACGTCAACAAAGAGCTGGAGAAGGTTATTCAAGAACTAATTCTTCGTCCGCTCCATCACCATCTGATTCAGGAGATTATGGATTTTCTTATCAGGTACACTAGATTGACTTTCACATAAACACTTGTGATCCAAAATTTGCGTGAGTAGTTCGGCCTACATTTTGTGTTCGTCAATTTTAGGAGGGACTTGGCAGGCTTTAATGTAGCAATGTACACTGCGTTCAGTATCTGAACCATAGCGTATACTACAACCTTCGAATTGGGCCACCGTATTGCACTTTTTAAAGGGAAACAATTAATTGATCTCATGTTCCCACTTTTCCTTACCATTTTAGGAACAGCACGGCGCGTTCGGCTTCTCAGTTTAGTGAACGTGTCCTCAAAGAGTACGACCGGTTATGTGACGTAAGCCAGTTTAATTTTGGTCTCTATGCATCAATCCAATTTCGTTTATTTGTTCTGAATCCGCAATTTTAAGCTAAAGCTTGTTCAGCACGAATTCTTCGTAGGGTCGCCTGAGGGAAGTTATTAATAATAACAACCTACTTGCAAATTTTCAGCAGGATGAATTTGTGGTACAAACACTGATGAGTTGGCCGAAATTTGTCCTACTGAACATTTGCAAGTAAGTGGTTATTATTGATAGATCCGCTCTCACTCAAGGACGATTCCCATCAGAAGTTAGTAACCTCTCGCACTTTCTCATCCATCCCCTTTTTGTCCTCGCTTATTCTATATAAAAAAGTCAGTTTCTGGCCAACATGTTTTCAGCAACTCTTCATCAGGCCAAATATTTGCAGGAAAAATGAAAGCTGTACAAAACGATTAAAGTTTGAACATGTAGAAAAATCAATAATTGTCTGAAATGGGCGCCGATTGGCCACTGCGGACTATGCCAGTCTGCACAAGTAGGCGAGATCGGCGTGTTGGGTGAACGAATGCCATTAGTTGGTTGGGGCAAAATGCGATCGCCACCTGGCGTCGATGTCGGCCACGGAAGTGTAAGGGCTTGTGTCAGCGTCTTCTGCCAACACAGTACTGGATTCGCTAGCCGTATTGCTACTGCTTCGGCTGTTGCGAGCATTCTTTGGCGCAGGCCCTCGGAAAAGCTAGCTGGTGTCCGGTAGACAACCTGAAAGACTATTAGTTTCGACTCGATGGTTCGTATCAGCAAGGTGTGCGAGGATAGAGCTCGAGGTCGATTTAGCTTCACCCTCGCTTAACCAGTTTTCGCGCACTAAGAGGTCCCTTAGTGTGTCCAAACCTTTCATCCTCCTTTTCCCATCCCTCCCGTAAGGCATGTGCACAGACTCGGGCCTTTGCAATCGGGCGGCCGTACGAGGAATTCCTACCGCTTGTTTTTTTTTTCAAAGTTGCAACGCACTTTGCCAAGCGGAATAAATTATAAACTGTAAACTTGTGAAGCGTGGTTGATGTTCAGCTGTGATATGCTTTCTCTCAGTAATAAACAGTTTTGAAAGTTTGAGTATTTAAGACTTACCTTCGTTCAATGGAGCGAATTCTGTACTACGATCAGTAAGCGAGTATTCGTTCGAGCATGTTGATTATCAAAGATGACAGGAGTTCAATATGACCTAGTTGAAACATCATTGTTTGCAGCCACCTTTGCAGTTCCGTTAGCCAAATGCTGTCCGTAGGTGTCGTTTTATAACTGACTCTAATGTGGGCATTTTATCTCCCGTACATTGGATCACTGGGGAAAGATAAGGTCACACCCGTCAGACCCTGAATTTTTTTACTCTACAATTAATGCTGTTGTTTTGAACTTGTGAAATTCTATCAACACAAACCATAAATATGTTTTCCCAGAAGAAATTTGAACCATAACACCAGCAGAATTTAACGACGTCATACAATTTCGTGAACTCCTATTCAACCGCAAATGGTCATTGTCTGCCACTAAGATACCATGAACAGAATCGACCTTGAAGGCTGCAATTTGATTGGTAGATAGAGTAGGAGTTGTTAGTCTTAGATGTGGGTGCATGGTGGGAAAAGGTAGTTATCGAAACAAGGCGGTTCGTGTTACAGTGAAAACCTGTCAAGCGTGATTACAAATGGGGGGACGAAGGACAGGGCAGCAGTCAATCATACAGGGAAAGGAGGAGGCGTGAGAGGGGACGGATTTAGCCATCGTTACCACGGCAATGCGAGGCTGATAACATGATCCAGATGCTTACAGAGTTCTGGCTTTCTTCTAGGTACTGCTTTTATTCAATTTGCATACTTATCAAATGTCAGCCTTCTAGGTCGATAATTACTTGTCTTAGGTTCACTACATGCTCCAATTGTTTACATAGGTCGGGTTTAAACCGCCGTTTGTAAGCTGCCCCCAGGCAGCGTAAGGTGCGAGTTGTTCGTGCCTGAACAAATACTCGGAAGAAGGTTTTAGGGTCCACGGAATGGCCAGTATCTAGCAGGTGTTCAGTAATTGA